AAAATGGTGCAAAGTGTAAAATGTCTCTTTTGCCCTTATTTAACACTTCTCAAATAAATTTGTTAAGGATATTTATGTCATTTGTGATATATATTTTTAAATACAATAAATTATTATTATTATTATTATTATTATTATTATTATTATTATTATTATTATTTACATTTAAAATAAATTTTAAATGTAAGACATAATAATTAATAAATTAATTAAAAGACGAAAACAATTTAAAATACATCAAACACGATTATTTATTAAAGTTAACACGAAGTATATTAAATAGCAACATACATACGATAATCTAATTTTATTTTTTTTTAAAAAGATACACAAAAAGTGAATAGTCAATCATTTGTGGGATGAACATATAAATTTTGAGAATTAAATTGCAAAAATTTAGGTACTTCGTAATATCGTCTAGCCAAATTCGGAATGCATTGTATTATTTTCTGATAGCATGATTTCATATTTTCGTTGTTGTAGTATTTTTATTAATTGTTCTATGCTTTTTATATTTATTAATGAATTTAATCTTTTCCGTAATTTAACGTAATTATTTATTTAGTAATTTATGTATTTATGAAATAATTAAATAAATAATATTTCGAATAAGTAAATTATAAAGAATAAAAAAGAGAAGAAAATGGTTAAACACTGTTCATTTGGTGTAATTTTTGGTGTAATGATTGGAGATGAATTTTAGTTTGGTGTAAAATTTGGTGCAGAGTTGAAGATGGCCTAATGTACAATAGTTCACCAAATTTCTCCAAATTTTTAAGTACAAATCTTCTCCATTCTATTGCACCATTTTGGTGCAAAATGGTTAAATATATTTTTACCCTTCTCTTCTTCTTTGCACCAATTTTTTCAAGGGTATATTTGTCCTTTGTTATACAATAAATTTTAATTCCAAATATATCATCATCACGATTATTATGTTCATTTGTAATAAATTTTAATCATTTAATCAATAATGATTAATTGTTAATACTATTTCGATTTTGCACTATCATGATATTGCGAGTCAAAATGTATTACACTCTTTTTCAGTATTATGATTTAATATTTTCTTAGTTGTTGTATTTTTAATAATTGTACTACATTTTTTAAATTTATTAATGAATTCAATATTTTTGTTAAGTAAAAGTAATTATTTATTTAATAATTTATGTAGTAATAAAATAAAAAAATAAATAAACAAATAAATTTTGAGATAAATAGACTATTAAGAATTTTAAAAAAAATGAAGAAAATTATTAAAACACTATTTATTTGGTGCAATGTTTGGTGTAATGGGTTGGAGAAAATTTTATATTTAGTACAAAGATTTGACACAAATTTTGATGCAGGGTTTGTGATGACCTAATTTATTTTTTGCCATCTAACAGTAGTGTACATGAAGACACACATTATGTCTATTTTTGGTAGAAATTAAAATTAACATTTTAATTTAAATCAAAGTTAAAAATTAATTTTAATCACACATTTGGTGACATCCACAACTTTTTAATCATACATTTCATCATTTTTTTATCAAAATTTACTAAAAATCTTATTTTAGTTCTCACCAAACAATGACTATATATTGTCAAAAAATTGAATCATATATTGAGTCCAACTTAGCCCCTGTTTGGTGTGGACTGAAATCAAATTTTTAGTATATCTTAATAAAATTTGATAAAACATGTACTTGAAAAGTTATCAATCCTAAAAAATATGTGAGTACTTAAATTGTTTACTTTGATTTTAATAAAAGTTCAGATTTTAATCCCTATCAAACGGTTACTTAATTAATTAGGTTTCATGATGAGACAAAAAAGTGTTATAATAATCCCTATAGTTTAAATGGAATAAGAAAAAACAAAATTAGAAATCTAAAATTAAAAATAAACTTTGACTACCAGGAGACTTCATTTGACCAAGTGAATAAATTAAGATCGGGCAATCAGTTGAGCAAGACCAAGGCACAAAATCATTAATTTATTTGAAGTAAAGTTGATGGTCAATTTATGATTTAAGTGACTTTAAACTGCAAAATAAAAAATTATTATTGAAATCTATTTTTTCATCAACAATCATGCAACATTATCAGAAGGATTTGACAGAAAGGTTAACATAATATCACATGACATTTTATCGTTAGACTGTCTAAAATATAGTCAACCTTTCCATTCAATCATATTTTGCCAAAGTTAATTATGTCGTGGAATCTATCAACCATTTTTGGTAAAAATGTTAAATTCTAATATGTAATCATGCCAAGAATTTAGAATCACCATATAATAAATTTATGGAAACAAATTCATACCCACGAAAGTCATTGTTGATACGTATAATAATTGTAATAGCAGTCAAGATCTTCCTCTCCTTACTCCTCACAAAATATCAGCTATCAATGGAGCAAGCCAAAAACATATGGAGAGGAGAGGGGACCTAGCCTTTATATATAGAAAATAATTTGAGCCGTCCCATTACGACTAGAATTCTAATTATGGTTTATTTCCGGCCCACATACTTTAAATTACCACATTAAATTAATTATAACCCGTAAGGTGTAAAAAGGCCCAATTGATCGATTAATAAATTTGGTTCAAATGCAAATATCATTATGAGCCATATATCTAACTCGTAAAATTTTGCAATCAAATGTAAAGCCCACATATGGAATTATTAATTATTCCAACATTCTCCCACTTGGGCAAACATTTGATTACCATAGCAAAGTTTCAACATCCGGGTTAGACTACATAGGTGGCCATAAAAGTGTAGCTCCAATGATGACACCTTACGTAACATGATCCGATCCAACAAGAATATTAACACCTAACATGGAAGTCATTACACCAATTTAAGAGATGTAAGATCATTCCACAGCTACAAATGTCGACATCCTTATCGACATGGATCCCCATCCTCTAACCAATGTGATAGTATGTGGTATGAACTTAGCACCAAATGTG